ACATGCATTTGCCAAATAGATCATGTAAACAAAGAAAATATACTCACCTAAACATACTTTACAAAAATTATGAAAGCAAGGCAAGCTTCTTGGTTCGTGTAGAGTTTCCAAACACATGCAACATGTGAGTAGTTCGTTGATTTCATCAACAGGAACACTTTCTGATGAAGCACTTGCCATTTCAATTAAATGTTTCTTACTTCACAATTTAGACAACATATTTCAAGTGTTTTCTTTCCAACGAATTGATCGCATAAAATCTTGCTACAAATACAAAGTGAATTGAAACTATACATGAAAGTGTTGGATAAAATTGCGAAATTCTGCGAAGTGTTCGCTCAGCCCGCGATCAGGCTGGGATTAATGACCTCAATATATCACTGGACTAGCACATTTCCAGTAAATTCAATACTCTGAAACAGCAGAGGAGGTTGGAAGCCCTTCCCGGCATGCATTGTAACTCATTAATATTATCGATTTCCCGGGACGCGCCGTCATTGTTCGACTAGCTCTCGTTGTGTTCACTACTCAATTACAAGGAGCGGTATTCTAAAGTACAAATTGAAAATTGTAAATCATGGCGAATTTTCGTACTGTTCGTGGGAATCGTGGCAACAAAGCTACTGATTTGGATGGACGTGACAATCTTTATGTACATTGTGTGTCGAAAGAGCGACTGGAGCTGCTTCGTGAAGGGATGTCGTGTGTAGAACTCGAAATTATGCTATGAACTTCTAGTTTTATGGATAACGACAACGGCGTAAAAGTTGACGATATGTTCGCCGAATGCGATAGTCCTTCATTGATAGAAATCTATTCTAGTTGTGACCTTAAGGTACGATTATTTTATTATTTAATTGGCGGGAAAACGGGCCATTTATACTCGGAAATCATACAAGTATTTGACTTTATATCAAATGAGTTATCAGTCAAATCTATTGGGCCATTTAATATAGGCCCCCCCCCCCTATTAGGGGTCCCTTCATAATCCCCTTAGGATATAAAAATTTTAGAACCCCTTTGGATGCGATTTTTGGAAGTTACCACATGGATATCTTTATACCCCCTTTAGGATATCGTTTTTACCCCCTTAGCTTGGATATCACTAAAACACCTAATTTTTGCTATTTTTTTTGAAAATCTCTTAAGCTGCCCTCTAGGAAAATTTAAGGTTAAAACTCCCTCCCCCCCCTATAGGATATCCAGACCCCTCAATAGGGGGGGGGCTATATTAAATGGAATGGCCCATTTTAATAGGAGGGGCAAAGGAGGCAGAAGTGCACTTTGAGTTATTGAAATTCTACCGGCTAAATCTTATCTCTAGATAGTTTTGGACAAAGTCATGAGGTATGAACTTGACCTGATTAAGTGTGTTTGTGCAGTTATAGTTCCTTGAGTAGACTTTATTGCTAAACACAGAACAGCCATACTAAATGGAACATGCACAAGCAGGCTTTCATTGGCAAGTCAACATATAATTGTAGGTATATAGAGGTGCCCTTGGTGCGTGTTTGCCCCCTTGCCTTTTTATTGTTCCAACGTCCCTGTATATTAAATGCATCAAATCTTTTTTTACCTGCAGTACCATTGTACATTTAGTTTTGCTTTCATACTTACTGAAAATATTTCTTAAATTGATATATATATTGTTTTTCAACCAAAAAGGTCGCAGGCAAAAAGGATGACAAGTTATGTTGTGTTCTGTTGTGGGAGTTTAACATTATTCCATCACCAACTTCTGTAACAATCCGACCACCCAAGCTGGATATTTTAGAGGATATACTGAATGACCCACTACTGGTGAATTTAGATGAGCCATTGTTATGCAAATACATTAAGCAGCCATTAAATCCTATATGTTTGGTTAAAATTCATGGTGAAGAGATGCCTGGTGATGTTGAAAGTATTCGTGCAGAAGGTGGAGTTACAGACATGGACAAGATTGATGAAATTCAGCAGTTGACCCAATTATTGGATGTGGAACAGGCTACTGGTGATGCATGAATGATTCAAGCTCTGATTAGGAGAATGATGGAGACAAGGATTCTGAAGGACAAAGATTATGGAGGAGACACATTGTATCCTGAGAAAGTGGGAATTAAGCAAGGATTGTGGAGGACACTTTGTATCCTGAGAAGTTTGTTGTAGCTGGTCCCTGGGAGAACAAAGATACCAACTTGTGATAATCATGTATAGATGATCAAAAAATCTCAAGATGGAATTTAAAGTAGAACATGAGCAAGACATTTTTAGTTGAGATTTCCATATAAATTTATTCCTATTAAAACATCTATCATTATTTCAGGTAAATATTTGATACTATAATTTTACCATTTCTTTTTCAAATAAATAAATGTTTTCAAACTCAATTTGCTGTGTTTGTTTATTGCAGTTATCAAATCACTACTTTATATTATCTTATAGTCCACCTTGTGCATGTGTTCTTAACACTGTTTTAACTGTTGTATATTTGGCACATATGGAACCAGTATGATGTGGTAGGGAGTGTGCACTGCCAGCTCTGGTGCCGAGTTGTGTTGGTCATGTTGCCTACCCATCAACTTACTTGACTACAGCAAAGTCTTGCTTGACTACTGTATTTCAATTGTAATTGTTGTTAACAGTTTACTTATCATCATGTTACTACTCAAATTACTCATTTTGTCTCTAATATTTTTTGCTTTATCATGAAAATACCCCCCTCCCCTGCATACCCTCTGGCCAGGGCTAGGTGGGGGTGCACACATCCCAGTAAATCCATCCCTGGTATTTAGTGGCCATAATGCAGTGGTCATACACAATTGATGTTGATAAAATGCTTTATTCAAAGTTACAATATATAAAGTATATACTTAAGATTCGTTGCAACATTTTCATGTCACCAAATGCACCAATATTTACATGTGTGCATACTAAAATATGTATCTAAGGCTGGTATGGGCAAATTTAAATGACAGGTTGCTCTTATTATTCTTATTCTGGTTCAATAGTTTCATTAAAATTCATTGCTTGAATCAGTTGAATGGATCATGAGCACAACTTGGCTGGATTAGATTCTATGTTATACCATTTGCCAAAGCAAGATGTAGGAACAGTTTGTTCAATAACAGTTCTAAATCAGCATTAAATTCATAATTTGAACTTTTCCCATACTTAGGATCAGCAATATAAACAACATTGCCATCATTGTAAGATTCCATTTTTCACAAAATATATTCGAATTCTATAAAAATAATGGTAAAAGACAGTGTATTTAACTTAAATTCAGCAGTTAAACTCAAGAACGATCGACATATATGCCCATGCTTCGAAATAAAACAAAAATAATAACGACTCGTGCAGTAATTTTCCTCGCGCCATAATTCCCATGCGGTCGACTATTCCCGCGATGGGCGACATAGTATACCGAAAATGCACAATTTTCAAACCGCGATTACTCGTCAGTTTGATGGGGACAATTCATTTCTTAAACTTCTCATAGAAAGAACAACTCTTCTTGAATACGATGGCGTGTCTTTTATTTAATTTACTCAAATATAAACCCAATTGTCCCCGGCGGTTTTGAAAGCCACTTTTGACACTTGTGCATTGAACCGGAAAACAGGTCAGTACAAATTGCGATTAGCATATAACTGAACGTTGTTAAAACACCAAATGAAGCAAAAATCGTTAATTTGACTCATATTTAAAACAATTATAAAAACGTACCTTCAAAAATGCGAACTTTTCATGGCGAAATATCGAAATAAATATCAACAACTTTTCCAACTAACATTGTGAAAAATCGTGATTGTGAATAATAATAAGTTGCAATGCATGCTGAGAAGAGCTTCCACCCTCCTCTGGGTTGTTGTATATATAGGTGATCGTCCAGATGGTGAAAGGTTGACATTGCACACGCTTATATACCTTTTGAAAACTGTCTCGCTTGTATGCGGGAATACATGTTGTACTGTTATGCTTGCTTGTTGGGGTAAGACATCCGGTTTTTGTGCTACATTATCATGATCTTTTTTATTATTATTATTATTTAATGAAATGTTAATCTGAGTAGCAGCTAAAAGCTGAAATATACAGAATTAATTACGTAATTCGTAAAAGGACTCTTATAACAAATACTACATGAAAATTTTTATAACTATTTTAAAAATCGCTAAAACGTCTAAATATTATGATAACGAGTCATTATAAGCTAAAATACTTGAAGGTAAAAATGAGTTTCGAAATCTATTAGTTTTACAGTCAATTAAATTGACATGGTTATCATTACGAAGAGTATAATTGACTAAGTTCTCACGTCTATCAGGAACGAGTTCGTGCAACTTGTGGTTGGGGTGAAGAAGTTTTTTGTAGTATGACATACATATATCATTTCTTCTTTGACTAAGTGATTGAATTCCATTAAGTTTCATAACTTCCCGATACGATAGATCGGGATGTATTATTCGTAAGGCGCGTTTTTGAATTCTTTCAACTTCTCCTTTTAAATAATCTGGAGCACCGTAGTTCCAAACCTGGCATGTGTATTCAAGGATAGACCGTATACATGTAAAAAAGAGATTAGAGAATTCACTCCAACTCCGCTTCGTTTAAGTACTCGGAGAAAGTATAGTCTCTTTGATGCTTTTGCTACGATGTATTCAATATGCAAGTTCCAATGAAGATCAGACGAGAAAATAAGACAAAGGATTTTTGCTGACGAAACCCGGGAAATACAATGTTCTCCAACAAACAATGGACGAAAGTTCGGTGTATCTTTAGCGAACGAAATAATCAACTCCTTACATTTGGCGTAGTTAAGTACCATATCATTCTCTGTACACCATTTCTCAATATCGTCTATAATAGTTTGTAAATGGCTTTGTTTACCTTTAATGATTGTTTCCGAAAGACTGGTATCGTCAACATATTTCCATCGGTTGTTGTGTGTGACGGCTAGGTCGTTAACCATTATAAGAAAAAGAAGCGGGCCGAGAATTGTACCCTGCGGTACGCCGCCATTTACAAATTCCCAATCAAATGACACAGACCCCAATTTCACTCTCTGTCTTCTTTGCATGAGGAAGTCAGTTACCCAATTAATTAGAGAATTATCAATGCCGAGTAATCGCATCTTTTTTATGAGGATTTGATGGTTAATTCTATCAAATGCCTTACTAAAATCTAATAGAAAAACACGTACGGTTTCGCCATTGCCATCTGTATCTGAAAACCAACAATGGAACATGCTAATTAACACATCCACGGTGGAACATCCTTTTAATGAACCAAATTGTCTTTGATCCAATGTCGAATGAATAGTATCCATGATCCTTCAAAATTGGAGTAGCAGTTAGTGATATAGGTCGAAGATCTGAGAATATATCTGTTACTGGGGTTGTCTTTGGGACTGGAATAACATCCGCCTCTTTCCACTGCCTTGGGACCTGTGCCTGGTTAATAGAAGTGTTGAATATAATTGTTACTGCCTTCTCCGCAGGCCCTTCGTTGGGCACAATGCAGTGTGCAATTGCAATCTATATAGATCAGTGGCTGTGATATCAGTGCCGGGCAATGCATGATGGGATATTGAAATATGGGAAGCGAAGGGCCTGCCAGATCGTGTGTCGAAACTCTGAAAATTTAGTCGAAACTCTGCAAATGCATAAATATGAACAAATAATGTAAATTATGGCGGAGTCGCTAGACGAAAGTGATCATTTACTGGTCCTAGAAGACTATTTTGACGATGAAGAACTTGATATATCGTTCAGCAACATGTCTATCGACGGTAAGTCTCAATTTTCAAGATTTTATAGTGTTTGATATGTGATGAGACAGCTATGCACGTGTATTTTTATTCAAACTCCCAGGTTTATTCAAACATACGGCATAATTTTTCAATATAGATGTTCCTCCGCGATCAAGTACACCAAAAGAATGCGTTTTACAGGAGCCAAACGTAGAGGAAAGTCCGATTGGGGAAAAGCACCACCTCACACCTTCTTCAAAGCAATCTTTGCCTAAACCAAAGCGATTCAACGTTGGTATGTACAGTAATATTGTTTTTACTGTAACATAATATTTATATTGCGCAAATTAACATGTAGTCAAATTGACTAAATATTTTGGTTTTATATTACAAGTACTTCCTTGTTTACAAAAGTTTTTGAACTCTGTAGGTGGAAAACCATCTGGATATGAAGTCACATGTCGAAAAAAAGATTTGGAGATGCTGTTAAAGCAATCATTTGAGTTGAAGGAAGGATCTGAAATAACTGTGGAATCTTTACTTTCATGGTTGGGTTTTGAACATGATAAAAAAGTCCTTTTATCACGGCATATAAAAGATTTTTTTCCAGGTGTTTACACGAGGCGTGTAAACAAAGGTGGACATGAACAGTATCCTTTCTATTATTCTGTATAGTCAATACATAGTGGTTTATAGGGGGGGGGGGATACTGTACACCATTTTGGAATCATCTGGCAATATCAATCCTATCCTGTTTAACTCTTTATCGTCCGGCGATAAATTTCATATTTTTTATTCAATTGCTTCCGATGTAAATATCTCAAAGAGTATTTACCCCCCTTTAAAACGGAAACCACCGTTGAAATCCTCATAAAATAACCTTTCGAACGGGGGGTCAAATGCCGTTATAACATTACACAAACCAAAACAATTGTGTATTTTACTCACCGCTTTGCCAAATATTCTGTATTTCATATCCAGAAAATCTTGAATATCTCTTGAACTCCTCGGAATTCCCCACAAGTCAATCTGAGTGAAATACTCCTTGTATTCAAGCGCTTTCGTGTGGAAAATTTCGTTTGAATACGGCCAGTAGAAATATATTTATTTTGATTTTTTCAAAATATCGGGTTTTTACCGGTTTTTACTCCCACGCGCCCGCCACTCGCTAAAATTGGCCAATAAGGAGCACCCGTAAGCCCGATGCACGTGCAAATCACGCTACAGGTGTAATTTGACCTTTAGAATCGATTTCCGACGTTTCCCGAGCGATAGGATTTAAACAACGCAATGTTTTGGCAGATCTAAAGTGTATTTCCGGTCGAACCGCCGTCGAAGCTCTCGCGTAAAATTTAGATATTTTGAAATTCCGAAATAAAAGATGCAAATCTGTTGATACAAGCTTGAAAATAACACTCTAAATAGTGTTTTGGATTGTGATTCGAACAAGACTATTATGAAAAAGATATCTTGAAAGGGGCCGAAGTTATGTTCGGCGAAAGGTATGCCTTTGTGATACATTTTATTACATTCTTACATTTTTCAGGAATATTGTGTAATCTAGTGAAATATGACACCGCTTGCTCTCTGAAGGTCGTAAATCACTATAATGTTGACATTTTATTATATCTATTGATAGGAATTTTTTCACTGAATCGAATGGTGTTATTTTCATCTATATAGCATGCACTGAACCGAAAATATGAACCTGCAAAATACCAGGTCGGTTTCGACCTGGTTATTTCAGCACCAAACGAAAAAGAGTCAAGACCAATTGGACCACCCCTCATTTGCTTTCTGATTTCCTTGTTGAAGGTGAAACATAATTCTTCATGATCATCATTAACACAACCCTCGGTGCTTCTGTTAACATCACTCGCTTGGTATGTTCACTCGGTTGTTGGGTGGGTTGTTTCCATGACTTAAAGCACTTATCTTTCTGAACTTCAGCACCGCTACCGGTAATCGTTGGTGGCCTTCCCTTATTTGACTTCCTTGTTGGACATACTTCTGCTATACCAATCTTTTTTAACATTTCCGGTTTGATGTTAAGTGCCAAATACAATCCTACTTCCTCATAATCAACTCCATCTATCTTGACATTGCTCTCAAAAATGACTTCACATACTTTGTCAATTGTGAAGTCTATGTCTAAGCTGGGATATAAGGCTACTACATCTGCAGATCTCTGCAGATTTATCTGGTGTATTGTTAGGTTTTGAGATAGTCGGCTGAACTGCTTTAGTGGGCATATGTAAGCTTGAATTATTAGAACTTTGGGCACTGCGCTTGGAGGCATGTTGCTTGAACGCCATATAGTGTACATATTGCTATATGTACACTATATGTATCGCAATATAGTGTACATATTGCTATATAACATGTTTTAGATTTCAAAATTGTCTTTAAAAATGTAACATCCACAGGTGGCATATAAGGCTACATGCCTTGTACATTTTTTTTGGCAACTGATACCTCACTTTCACTATTCAAAACTGTTGCAAAAGGATCGGTGCTATCTTCTTGGTTGCAGACTTTCTGGTTTCAGGACTTTTTCTGAGACACACTTCCTTGTACTCTTCTGTGAACGAATCTTATTAGATGATCTGGATTCTTCGTGTGTAAGTAACAATAAATATAATAACAACAATAGTATAATATTGCATTTCATAAATGTTGCCTCAATATAACAATGCTTATCTTTATTCACTTCGCTCAAAATACAGCATTTTAACGTTAACTCAACATAATTAAATAAAAGACTGGGCTCTAGCCACTGTAACTGTCTGTGTCCGCCCTTACTCCTCGTCTTTTTGCTTCGCTCCTTGTGCAAAGAAAAAGGCTCATTGGATGCGGATGATACAGGTAATCTCGTACCAGATTCGATAACATTGTCACTGCTTAACCACAATTCATTAATATGATGAAAGAAAGTTTGTTACCGTCTCTTGTTGACAGCATAAAGCAGTCTTTCTCGGCACATGCCGAATTGACAAACAGTGAATAACTAACATTCACCGGGAACTCTGCCATTTCAACAAGGAGATAACCAGCCCAGTTCCGCCTCTGGGTCAAACAAAGGTCAGACACTTCCCAGACCTACCACTGGGTCAACAAATGGTGTAAATTTGTCAAGCGAACCACCCACAAAAAGGCCTCGCTTACAGAATACAACGTCAAACACTGCACGTGTTGTTGAAGTCGAAGACGAAGATGAAGCCCTACCTGACAACTCACAAGGGCACATAGTGAGGCAGATATGTGTAAAATTATTGATCAGTAGTTCCTGTTGAGGTTAAAAGCATCAAACTTTTACAACTGATGTAGTTTTATTTGCTTAATAGATGTTTGAAGTGGGGCCATCGCTATTTTGCTGCTAACTCCTGAAAACGGGTGATTAGTGATTTTCTTCTATTGAATTCTATTATAGCCAAAAAAATGTGAAATTTTGTATTCAATTACAACAAATATGACTTGCATCATCAGAAAGCTTATAAAAAACTGCATATAAGACGTTTAGACAGTTTTTTTATTTCTGAAATAGTTTTCGAATTAATTATAAACTGTTAAAAACGCATTTTCAAACATCGAATAATTAATTAGGGAGTTTTAGCGAGATAATGTGCCTAATTTACAGCAATAAACATTTGAAGAATAAAAAAACTGTCTAAAAGTCTTTTATGTAGTTTTTTAGAAGCTTTCTGATGATGCAAGTTATATATGTCAGTCGCGATTGAATTCAAAATTTCACATTTTTTGTTGCAGTAGAATTTAATAGCAATAATGCTAATAGCATCGTAACTCTCTAAAAAAAAACAGTTTCACGATGGCCCCACTTTTCCATGTTGTTCTACTCATAAAAAGATGCTACTGTGCACAATTTGGTGCTTTTAACCCTCTTCGGAAACATCCATGCACATATATCCGCCACACTACGCATTTTTCTCCGATAGTGGATTGCGATCGATAGCCACAAAATAGAATATTAATGACTTCCTAATAAAACCCAATTTACCTATTCAAAATGGCGGCCTTTCGTGAGTGGGCAAAATGTTTCAAACAATTTCGTTAAAATTTTCAACGAATTGTACCTGTTTTGTATAGATTTTGCATTGTGTCTAACTCTGGACATTCTTGCTAGTTTAGTTAATGCATTTTTCTTGGTGCACGACTCTGAAAATGCGAAATTTGGATCTTTGACTTCCCGTGCACGATCATAATATACTGAATCTGAATATAAACGAGCCAAAGTCAAAGACAATTTCAAGGTAAAAGGTTATAACTTAAACTACACAACGTAGTTTTAATAGATAACTGCTTTATGAGAAGCATATTGGTGTCATATCAATATAAAATTTATGCAACAACAGTCCCTATCATAGTTAGCGTGTGGAAACGTGAAAACTGTAGTGTGAAATATTTAACAAATATAAAACATTTTCCGTGTTGATATACAGTTATATCAACACGAGTGGAATTGGGAAAACGAGAAATTGTGTGGAAACACGACGCCCGAAGGGCGGAGTGTTTTCATACAATTTCGAGTTTTCCCAACTTCCACGAGTGTTGATATAACTATATATCAATAAAAAATGTTTTATATTTTTTTATAATATAGCAATGTCAAAAGCCCGAAGGATAAGAAACATTTCCATGTTTACAAGCAGCGGAGAATTTCCCGTGTTGACATTGAGTTATATCAACCACAGGCGGCCCAATCTCAGAATGAATGATCAGGTGTTGCGGGTTTTCAACGGTTTTTATAAACAAATTTTAGATAGTCAACCAAAACTATTCTAAAAACATTCTCAAATTGGTCAAATAAATACATTTTAACAATAAAATATAGTTGACATGATAGTATAATACCTTTGCATTCTTTTAATTAATCCATGAGCTCATTTAGAGCGGTTGATGTAACATTTTCTGTGGCCTACATTGTGTGTGCTCATCTATATATAATATAACAGTAAAAGGCTAATCACTGGCGGCACGACCGCATCGCCTTCAAAGTCAAATATCTCCGCTCAAACTTCTCGTACGCCAAAACAAATTCGATTACATCTTTTCACAAAGATTTCTCTTTCTAAATAATATGGTTTGATCGTAGCTTGGGCAAATTTAGCGACAAACGAAACCAAAATCTCCTCAATTTCGGATACTGTTCAAAATACTTAGGGCTGCTCGGGCACGATCGTGGACGTGACGTAATCAATACATACTGACAATAACGCCTTACCGGGGGTGAGACAGCATATCAAATCCGACGATAGTTTGTCGCTTGATGCTGTCCCACCCCACGTAAGGCGTTAAGGCGTTATTGTCAGTATGTATTGATTACGTCACGTCCACGATCGTGCCCGAGCAGCCCTAAGTATTTTGAACAGTATCCGAAATTGAGGAGATTTTGGTTTCGTTTGTCGCTAAATTTGCCCAAGCTACGATCAAACCATATTATTTAGAAAGAGAAATCTTTGTGAAAAGATGTAATCGAATTTGTTTTGGCGTACGAGAAGTTTGAGCGGAGATATTTGACTTTGAAGGCGATGCGGTCGTGCCGGCAGTGATTAGCCTTTTACTGTTATATTATATATAGATGAGCACACACAATGTAGGCCACAGAAAATGTTACATCAACCGCTCTAAATGAGCTCATGGATTAATTAAAAGAATGCAAAGGTATTATACTATCGTGTCAACTATATTTTATTGTTAAAATGTATTTATTTGACCAATTTGAGAATGTTTTTAGAATAGTTTTGGTTGACTATTTAAAATTTGTTTATAAAAACCGTTGAAAACCCGCAACACCTGATCATTCATTCTGAGATTGGGCCGCCTGTGTATCAACACGCGGCTCTTAGCCAATCAGCGTTCAGAATTTACAAATGCTATATTATAAGATATAATATCACAATAATATCATTTGTATTTGTAATGCCGCAATAAGGATAAAAATACCATGCATCGTTCGATTCAGCGTAAGAAATTGTACTTACGGATGTCAAATGTATTACTACACAAGAGCATTCTAGCGATTTAGGGCCTTTGAAAATCAAGCGAAATTGTATTGTTGATAAATCGCTCGCAGTACGTAGTACTGTTGACAAATCACAGTAATCACTCGCAGTACGTTTGTCCTTGTATTTGTAATGCCTAATGGCGCAATAAGGATAAAAATACCACCGTTCGATTCAGCGTAAGAAAATGTACTTACGCGGAATGTCAAATGTATTTACTAAACAACAGTATTATAGCGATTTATGGCCTTTGTCTTTGAAAGCCAAGCGAAATTGAATTGTTGACAAATTGCTCAAAATTATTAAACTAATTTAATTACAAAAAATGCAGTACGTTTGATCCTTGATAACTTTTGGTATCGTTGGTTTTCTCTTTTTCGGCCGTATACCAGTGGATTCGTCTCAAAAGGCCAAAAAATAGTTATTTTGAACGTTTTAAAGAGAAGTTTAATCCTAGCGTACGGACCAACTGGCGGCCGACAGTCGGCAGAAGAATGCAACCTCGTTCCCAGTGTCTCACCTCCGCTCACCCCCTGCTCCGGAGAGACCGTGGTATGGTGTGGTCACGTGAGTCATGACCACGTGCTATACTCAGTAGGGGTAGCAAGGGTAGCATGATTGAGCACTTATTAATTAACTAAAAATAGCAAATGTATATTAAAACAAAGAGTATTTTAAACCATATTTATCACCTAAACCATAAAGGCTGTCGAACTGTAATAAAGCCAGGTAACTGAAAGAGTAGAGAAAGCATCACAGCCGAAATCTATCTCGTCAATGATTTTGAAAGTTCGTTTTAAGCAGTATGTCAAACCCGGTTGTGCTATAAAGCTATTTACCCCAATGATTGACCCTATTGTTGTCATTATAAATTGTAGTGAAGAAGAATCGTTATAAACACTTTATCGTTGGACCTCTACTGTTTCTTGTGTATATTAAATAATGACCTGACCCAGAACGTGTATCGGTTTGCTTTCTGTCGCGAATTGTCTATTATTGCTCCTTTTAGTTAAAACCGATATCGGTTTTATCTTTTACAATAATTCAACAAAGACTAAGTACGACTTCTCTTGCGCTTTATATATCCAACCATGTTAATTGTACTAAAATAACTTTGTCAATGCTTTGGTATAAGGTCACTAAAGACATGTGAAGTCACACAGAATTATATTAATTTAAGCATGTAATATGAAGGCATTCAGAGCCAGCACATACAACAAAACGAACATGTAAATATTTTGAATCGTGATTGACATAAAACCTATTATACTATACCAATGGCAATGGGCAAAGGCAATAACAGAATCAATGCAAATTTGTCAAACATCTGTATGAATTGAGACGCGCATACCAAAATGATATAATACGCGACGTTAAAATATATAGTAAACACGTACCGTTAGCAGTAGCACTAAAGTAAAGGTGAGAGTTCATAGTTGATAAGCCTAAATAAGTTGATAAGCCCAAATACACTAAAATGTATCCATTTTATTTTGACAAATACATCTGATCTGTGCTATATTAATATATACGAGGGACGGTTTTTAAAAATCACAATGTATTAATAATATCACTGCGATCAGTGCATGATCACATATATTTAGCAAGAACAGACGACAACAAGCTAAGAGTCTCGCCGGAGCCGGTGTTTGGCGGGCGTGGCGGAGGTGAGACCCTGTGAAACAGGTCGAGAAGAATGTAGCGTATTAAATATAACTTTAGGGACTTTAAGATTGCACGAAATGTGCGATGGCAACGCTGACCGGAAGTGTTAACTGAACTTAATTTTGCTGACTTTGCAATTTAATGTCGTTTCTCGTCGTGTCGACGACGTGAGAACCAGTGTTTTGGCGTTGTGACTGCGACGTGAGAACATCATCATTAAAGATTAAAGTTATATAAAAGGTATTTATGAAAATTTGCGTTCGTTAAGATTATAAAAGGTATCTGTGCACATTTGCGTTATTTTAGATTGCAGAATGACAGTAACATTTTGAAAGAGTACTTGTTAAACTTGTTATTAAATTAGTAGTTTGTCGCCATATTGATATTTGCATAATTTGTTTTGAATATAAATAAAATGCCTCAGCAACTATGCAAATTTTGCTAATTTAAACTCAAAATAGTTTTGTTGTATGTATTTATATATATCTACAAATGATTGTGTTATGTTCTAGAAACATGGGGGCATTGGGAGCATGCAAATCTAATAAAAAACTTATAATTAAAAACTTATATTTTTAACATTCTATTTCTTCATGTATGTTTCACTGACCAGTGCACATAAGAATTACATTTTATCATCTTTTAAAATTTGGCTAAAGACGCATTAAATATTTGGTTGATATAAAGCCTTTCCTATCTGTGACATTACTTTTTAAAACCAATATAAATTGATAGTTTTTTTGTTGTTATCAGATGGAGTGGGCAATGGAACATAACATAATTTATTGTCGAGATATTCTGTTGGTAAATCCATTCTAAATGGAGGAAATGGAAGTCAAATACAAAATGTTAGAATTGGAGGAGAAGAAACACACTGCAAACGTGGCGATGCAGAAGGATGCCAGCAAGCAACAAATGGAGATGCTACATGCAATGCAGGACCAGAACATCCAACAGCAGAAACAGCAGCAGCAGCAGTTTCAACAACACATGCAACAAACTGCAAACATGCAATTGATGCTCATGCAAAACCAGCAGGAACAGCAACGGGCAATGCTAGAATTTTTTAGTAAACTATAACTAACAAGAAGACATTAGAAAACAATTTGCCAAAAAAACTTTCTAGATTCATATTTGATCTTTTTATGTGACTATATGCAGGTATAGTGCCTGTTATGTACACTGTCTTTATTGCTTCAACATCATAGACATACAAGATGAGGAGGGGGAGGGGGGGGGGGTAAGTTGGGCAGTTGTCCCCCATATTGTTGGGCAGACAAGGCCTTGCATGCTGAGTTGTTGATATTTTTATCCACTTTGTCTTTGTGAAACAATGCATCATTTCATAAAAGTAACAATGTAACATGTTTAATATATCTTTACATACCTCAAAAAGTAGTCTTTATATGTAGTATAAATTGTTTACATCATGCAAAATTCAAATGTGAGCCATAATTTGAGTAATATACACCACTTATTATTTTCCAGTGGCAGACACAAATTGGGGTGCAAATTTACACTGCTAAGGCAATTATTCGGGCTTCAAGAAATTATTGCCCTCTTAGTTTCTGCCACTGAAACAACAAGACTATAACATGGGATATAACTATATACATGGGATATAAAATCATGCAAAATACTCATTTAGAGCAGGTGGGTCTAAATTCAAAATACATGGATGTAGTGTTTTTGTATAGACATTTTAAGGCATTCCTTAACAGAGCCCCAACTATATACATTTTGCCGACTTGGCTGAGTCTAATTTTCAAATTCTTTTTAAAGTGTAAAAATTTGAAATAATTTACAATATCACCGAATAGCCATTCCACTGACACCCGTACTTGACTCATGGAACGGTTGAAATCTTGCACTTCCTCAGTAATGCCTTCTCGACGAAAGGGTGCTTGAAGGTGCATCCGAAGTGGGTAGGCTGGGTCACCATAAATGCACATTGGTTCGCCTTGTCAGGAGAATGCAAATTGCCTCATGTTGTTGTACACGCCAGACTCACCAAGCATCCGTGCATCATGCATCTTCCCCTCTATTGAGAATATTGCACAAATGTTACATTATGTAAATGTTATTTACAGGTGATAGCGACACCATTTGATATATAAATCACTACCATAGGAAGCAATTTTGTATTGGGGGGGGGGGGTCTGATTAGTTAGGGTTGATTATTAGGTCATTATTTCCCTCTCAAACTTCACAGATTATCGTTAGTTTACAACGGCCCTGTTTCAAATACTTGATAAAATTGTCAAGTACCAGCTTTAATATATAGACACTGACATAGTACCTGCTGGAAAAAATTAAATTTTATGCATTGGTTTACTAGAAACTTACCAACTGGTCCATATAAATTAGCAATTATTCCATTGGGCAAGGCCACAGATTGGAACTTTAGGGCGTGGACTCGTTTATGACCATTATATACGACTCTTTGGTTTTTTCCAGGTCTACAAATTTGTCTGACCATCCCATCTACGAAAGCAAAGCAGTTGGTAAGGGCTTCTCCTTTGTTCGATACGGCTGTAGCATATGTCTCAAGAGCTTCTGGGTGTAAAATCTGATGATTCCACTCTGTCAGACGATGGCCATGGATATCAAAAATTAAACTGATCATTTTATTATTAATCATAGCTAATTCAGGAACTGATCTACCAAAGGTAGGAATCAGGTCAGAATACCTGCAAGGATAGGCAAACCTCTTGAGCAGAATCCACGAGGCTTCTTCTCGTCCACAAATAGTCCCTTGGTAACATTTTACAATTTCTGGAATCCTTAGCGTATCCGCAAGTCCTGGTATATCATTCTTTTCCACTCTAAATTCAGTTTTGCATTCAACTTCGTCCTTTAACTCTAGGTCAAAGGCTGGATAGCTTGTATACGGATACTCAGCATTCAGAGAAGTATATTGTTGGTACAACAGCAAAAACTCTTCTTCGTCCAATAAACCTTCGTGAAAACCAATAAGCAGCAAATCATGAACGGATTTGAAGGATGCCATTCGCATATTTCACAGAAAAGTGGTGAAATTATAACAGTTTTCGGTTGCCGTTGTGCGTGGCGATGTCGAACATCTTAACATGGCGGATGTTTACAACACGACGGCGTTCTCTCCCCAAGCAATTCCCGGTTTCAGCGTTGCCGTTGCCGCCGGCGATGCGCAATCTTAAAGTTTCTTTTACTTGTACGGCGGAAACGCCGGAAGTTTTATTTGTAGGGCACCGCATTTTAGTACTGTGTCTGGTTCTATAAAATCCTGACCTGGGGTCATTATACTGTCCTAGGCCTGGATCAAAACTAATTCACCTAACAAAAACTTCAAAACTGAGCCACCTACCTGCAATACACTAGCGAATTTTAGAGCAGCAGCATTCTCCCCTTGACAAGCAAAATCGAGGCATTAAAATAATAAAGTAGGGTGCATTTGCCATTGGGGCACCGTATCTTAAAAATATAATCTGTGTCAAATACTGTTGCTGAACATAATAAGTTTGATTTTAAATATAGTTCACCAAAAACTATTCTATATATAAGCGGAATTTGCATGTTTTCCGTGTGAAGGACAAAAGCACAGCATGTATTTTATTATTTTACAAATAATAAAATACATGCTGTGCTTTTGTCCTTCACACGGAAAACATGCAAATTCCGCTTATATAGTTGCCTGAACAGAAGAACAATCAGTTCTTCGTCCTTCGCAGGCAAAATATACAAATTCCCCTTATACAATTAGTCTGAATTATGCACAATGCATGATATCACAAAAACAAGTAAACAAAACCAAACCGCCTCGCGCCGTTCTAAGAAAGACCCTGGGACCGAGGTTGAAACAAACTCACTTGAGAGGTCATTAATTGGCCAACCGAGGCCTGAGCTGGCGTCTTCGTTTCTGTAAATTGTTCTGTTTTTCTGTAGCGGTTACCAAATTATGAGCAAATATGTTGTGTATAGCCCCAGCGAGTTAACGCTCCATAGAGTGTCTTGTTATATAAAATTTCCTGATGAGAATACATGCACTACACCAAATTAAGTTTCTGGCGCATTGGTGGATTCTCCAATATGGTAGTGGAGCAATAGATTGTACCCACGTTAAAATATCTTCTCCGTGCAGGAAGCCAGAAATGTATCGAAATAGAAAAGGGTATTTTTCCATTAACGTGCAAGTTGTTTGCGGAGCTAGCAAATTTGGAAATTCTAAACATTGTAACACGTTGGCTATAGGTAGCGTTTGTCATGCTCATAGAATTTTTTTATTAATTCGCACTTGCAGCTGAAAGCTAAGCTAACTTGAAAAGGACGCAGCTGCAGCAGAACCTCATTGAGTCGAAGATTTTGTAAGGTCGCCCTTTGACAGCCTCTATCTTTTTGACTCTTGGGTGATCACAGAACATGGTGTGGAAGAATCAGTTATAGACTAATCTTAACCCAGTTTGTCAACACTACCTGTAAGGGAAATATCAAACCGAATTCCTTGCTGTGTATTGATCAAGCAATAACTAGATAAGTCAGCCGGTTTAGCCCCATTTGTGCACAAATAACCATTAACAAAGAGTCAAATAAATCAATTTTATTTCCTCCAGTAATTACATAAACGCGTATTCAGTTCTATGTTAAAGTCTCCCTCTCCCCCACTCCTTGTTTAACCCACCATTCATGTGTTTAGCTAGCACTAAACTTGGTAGTATTATGTCTTAGTCAATCAATTAATTCCTTTGGATCTACGAAAAAAATTGCTGTAAAAGACTGTCTATAATCCCTTCGTTATTCTAAAACTTCCATAGATGCGCGGGGGAAGGGCCATTCAGAAGAAGCACTGCAGCCATCAATTAAAATATCGGAAAGTGGGCATATTAACGTTAATCGTGCAAAAATAAACAGGGAGCTTGAGCTTGAAAAGTCGGACATTGAAAAATCTGTTTCAGTTGCAGTTCTCTGCGGACCTACAAATTTAGGCCTAAACGCGTATGAATTGACAGCGTGTCCATCTTCTATTTCTTACTCTGTGTTTTGTGCTGGTAATTTCCCATCTGTTATTGGGTTTAGAAATTTACAAGCATTTATCACCCCATCAAAATTTTCGAAGAAATTGTTTTGTGATCATGCGGTGGAGGATGCGCTCGATCACCACCAATGTATGGATGATCTAACTGCCATTTCTTAATGTTGTGAAAAATACAAAAAAGCTGTGTGCATTCAGAAGTTATGTTCTCCAAACCTTTTATTACAAGAAGAAAATCGAGCGAAAGTTGTTCGATCTTTTCCGCAATCTCGATCGCTTCTTCAGGATTTTCAACATTCCCAAAGAGATTGACCTTCGGCATAAAATACATTGGAAGTTCGCGATTCCTTAAAGCCTCTGCCAGCTCCTGAAGCAATAAAATAAGATGAGTTGCCACAGTTTCCTCAGTAAAAGAATCTTGTGTTCTTTTCTCGAAATACCAAAATGCAATTGTTTTCAGGTGGTATGTTGTGATAATTTCTTTGATATTTGGACTCCAAGTATTTTGATGATATTTCACTACAGCTTTGAAAGAACGAAGAATTTTATGCTGCACTCAGTCAAATTTTCAATCAGCGTTGTTTCAGCATATGAAAATGACAAGCGAAAATTTCCATCTGTTGAACTCTTGGGAACAATATGAAAACCATCGTGAGTTATTTCTTGTATCAAATTATCTTCTGGCCAATTTCGATGCCGTGTTATCCATTCTCTCGCACAAGACGGCCAACCATCGCATGATATGGCCAATACAATATCACAACCTGTGAAAAGCTTATAAAAGTCGTTTAAAAGATTCTTACATCTACACACTCCATTTCCTATCTTTGAAGATTCGCCTAATTGAAAAATTAAATAGTTAAATGCTTCGTTAAAACGAGTAAGGCCAAAGTCACATCTACTCGAGTAAATGGCCGCACCTTCTCCAACGCTATTCGAATTATCGCCCCTGTATCTAAAAGGTAAGAACTGCAGTTTGTTCTCCTTTAGTCTTTCTTTCAGTTTCTTTGACGATAATCGCTTGCTTGGTGTATCCTCATGATCGACCAAAAAGTCCTTCCATATTTCTGCAGTGTTTTCGTCTGTCATGTAAGCGTAAATAAATGGCGTGTCTTCTTTTAATGTCAAGTAACCAGACCTTTGATCTTCTTCCGAGAATGAAATGTTTTTCAGGACAAGCATGTAATCCAGATCTGGGATTGATGTGTTTGAGTGACCGTAAAAATACAACCCTTCACTCCAACTTCCTGAGATTATCACCTCGCCGATTTCGAAAAGTGGTTGGTTGTCAGAATATATCTCGATTGTTTCGTGCATAGTAAATGGCATATTGTCGAGTAATCGCATGGCATCAAGGGGATTACCAGGTGAAGTCATGACTTTATTTATGTGTCGGTCCCGTAGCTCGTCGAGTGACCTTGCACCAACTGCAGGAGTCCACAAGCGCAAAATGGCATTTCGAAGGGGACTTGTATCACTTCTAGCATAAGCCATTCTGAATTCACGTTCTTTCAACAAGACGCTATAACAGGAAAGATATACTGTCACCTTAAAACGACATCAGCAATTAAAATAAAGTTTGCTTTCCGTTTTCATCATATAATAGAGAGGTTCAGAGGCTCTGGCTTCATGCGCATTTGATTGGGTAGCCGGATGATTAACCGTCGCTGATCGGTTAATGGTATGCCAAAATCTTAACTTTTAATGAAACAATTAATTGAGACTTTTCAAATGTTTCTTGAGAGCATGAATCAAAATGACTATAGGAACAATAGGAGATATATTTCATAAATGAAGTGTATGATATATCCTCAGATTGGTTTTCAGATTTAATAGGAATAATTAATAGATATTTCGTTTCGTGAAAACAATAATTTAACATTTATTTTTTTTATTTTTAAGTATTTTGATTAATTGATATGCATGGTCTTGAAAAACAAGTATACGAGCGTTATACTACTGGAACTAGGAACTGGTTACACTTTGATCCATCGTTTTAACCCAACTACTTTGATCCATCGTTTTAACTCAAACCTTAATTTGTATATTGTTTTAAACCTTTAATGTTGGTTCGGCGAGGTAATTTTTTAAATATATTAAAATGATCTCAATGATTCACCGAAACACTAGTCAGTTAAATGGTTCTCGAAGTGGATGCGTTTTATATACAGGGTGTATAAAAAAACTGAATTACCAGATTTAAAATTGCTCTCAATTTCGTAAAACACCTATTTGTATCCGTTTTTTATATATATGGCCTCGTTCGGTACTTATAATGTAGAATAATGAGAAAAATTTCTCGAACTCAAATTTTGTGAACCAGGGGGTGTGTCTTTTCCAACAAACTAAAAATGGCTCGCGCACAAAATTTAAAAGCTGCAATCATATTTTGAGTTAACAAATGAAAAATTTGTTGGGTTTTTAATTACTGTGCAAAATTTCAGATAATTTGGTTTAGTTTAAGCCCCTTAACTATTCACGCAAAGTTACATTTTTCCTAAAAATCAGCTATTTGCATGCTTAATTATATATGTCAGCAATATGCAAATTAGGTAAAGGCATTAATTAAGCATGCGAAAGGCTGACTTGTTAGAACAAAATGAATAGTTAAAGGGCTTAAACTAAACCAAATTGTCTGAAATTTTGTACAGGAATAAAAAACCGAAAAATTTTCCATCTATTAATTCAAAATATGATTACAGCTTTTAAATTTTGTGCGCGAGCCATTTTTAGTTCGTTGGAAAAGATACCTCCCCACTGGTTCACAAAATTTGAGTTCCAGAAATTTTTTTCATTATTCTACATTATAAGTACCCAAAGAAGCTATATATATAAAAAACCGGATACAAATTGGTGTTTTGCGAAATTGAGAGCAATTTCAAATCTGTTCAGTTTTTTTTTATACACCCTGGATAGCAGCGTTCGCTTAAATGTTTTGCTGATACATGCACATGCAAATTACATGTACTTTGATGTAATTAGTGCAATTTTCCACGTATAATGGGTAAACAATTAATCAATGCTTTTAAATATTTGTTCAGTAAAGATATTTAGGTGCGTGATGAAATTAATTGGCGAGCAATTGAGGTTTTAAGCTAATTAACTAATTAAATACGACGTCCATTAATTAACAGACAAACCCCAACATAACTAATAATTACTATTAACAATTTAATCAAAATTTAATTTTAGTCGCTGATCTATTATTGTCTTTGTTACGGTTGGGGTTTATTATTATTATTCTACACAAACAGACAAGAATTACTTGTATACGTTGTCCCTGAATCGAAAATATAAAACTGGACACCGTCAATATCGATGAGATATATCGTTAAAAATAATCGCACCAAATTTCATGACGATTGGACTCAAAATGAAGGAGCCTTACTATAGGCTCTTTTTCGAAAAGCGTTTCCCTCTATAATAACAAGACGATTAGCAGCGATTGGGGATATATAAATACATAATTTTAATTTAGCTCACGGCCCACTGATTACCTATACTTATAGCCTAGATCATTTACTGTATCTTATCTTTACAACAATTGGTCCAAAAATCAAAAAGTGCATGAAATATTTTTGTATAAGACCTTCTTTCTACATGAGTTGCTTCCACCCAGTAAGACTCGCGTATACCACTTTACTATACGTTCAGGCATGCTGACGTTATATAATAAATTACCAAAATGTAATTACCTGCAGAAGAGATCTATAGGCAGTATACGTTTTCTTCAGTAATATTAACCAACTTTTCAATAAAACGAAGTGTATTAATATTTTAACAAATGAACCGACGATTACTGTATATGTATGCACGTGCATGAAGCCGCCAATATATATATATATATACGTCCAGTGGATTTGTGTTTTGCCTAAAATGAAAACAATGCATGCATGCACATTCTCATTTTCGTTTCCATTCACAAGTGAAATCCTAGCTTTTGTTTTCTCATTGTTGTCCGGCCTATAGTATACATGTCCGACTTTAGAGTGGGGACGATTAAAATATCTAGGCAAGTATTTACCTAGCTAACCTTATGTGTATAATGGAAAAAAAGAACAAAAAACAAGTTAATTAATATCAATCTATATAAAAATCAAAATGTAAATCTATATCCTTTTATATATTATCTATTTTTCATTATCTATATCGTCTATTCTATATGTTTATATTTTTTATATTCTAGCAATATCAGGTCCTGTAAATCGGTCATATTTGAATAAATTATAATAAACCCTATTTTACTTTCTATTTTATTCATATAAAAAACTATTTTATTTTTAATTTACACATGCATATTATATATCACATACAAATCCTATATTAAACCTATTAGAACTCTGTTTTAATGGTATTCAGTCATATAGCTATTATAAATAAGTTTTTTGAAACAAAAAAGCCTATTGTAAACAGATTTTATTTTTATGAAACGGTGAAGCACGGATTAAAATAGGTTTAAAATAGGATAAAATATATTTAAAATAGATAATTCCGGCAAAAATAGCCTAAATATCGTCACACTTTTTGTAGTCGAAGAAATATAAACTAGAACGTTCCGAAGCTACGTTTTGTCGCCCGCGCGACTATTCCAGCGGTCATGATAACAAGTACTTCATATAATAATAATATCGTTCGTTAACATACCCCCCCCCCCGAATGCAACGCATTCGATTCCACTTAAATTAAAGACAATAAATAGAGGGATTAGCAATGTCAATGAATACTAACAAATACGACTTTACGTCCTTTCTGTGCACTTCTATAAACGTTTCAGTTATCTATCTTAATTGTCCGAATGTTCATGGAAATATTCCTTGTTCCTGGATCTCACCTTTACAACTCTAACTAGGCCGTCACTTCCCTGATACGGATCGATCACGCGAGCAAGAGGCCATTCTCCCCATAGCCTGCTCGCAGACGTGGTTATTCTTACGCCAAGCGACGAAAAACTACCATCTGCTTACCCGAGCGCCAAACTGAATTCCGCTATACGTCGACCAATCAGAATTTACCTTCCCAATTCTGGAAAGGGACGTCAGCTGATTTAGGAGCGGAATAAATAATAATAAATATAAATATATATTTTGAAAGCAGTCGTCGGTTGAATTTTTGGTCAAAACTGCACATAAATTGAATTTAAAGATACTGATGCTTGTCCAGGTAATAAAATGCACCATTAATGATCATATTTGGATATTAAAGATGTTCGGTTATATTTAAAACGCGGACAGGATTGGTATATTTAATTTTATATACTGTATGAATCTAGGCCAGACAGCATCAAATGCCGGATTTATTTCGCTGAAAATTGAACTTTTGACGGATGTTTATCTTCATAAGACAACAGAACTCGGAGGACATAAAATTTTATATAATAGTGTGGCTTAGAAAGCGAAATATTAGCTTCAAAGTAAACTAATTTGCTGTTTGAGCAACCACTTCTGAATGTAAACTGTAAACACAACACGAATCCGAGAAACTTGTATTAAAATTGCGCCGAGATGAATTTTCCTATTCACACAAACTTCGAAACGTTTATAGACTTTATACTCTAACTTTGCTATACTTTTCTACATGACAAAGAAAGCTTATAATCTTTTAGAAGTTTTCGTTGAAGTCATGGCATATATAGGAAGTATCAAGAGCAACATTTGGACATATCCTGATATACTCGAGTTTCCCGATTGATTGTTTGTTATTGTTAAGAAAAATTTAAGTTTCGCCTACTGCATTGCTTTTGCATTTTATATACACCGATTGTTTCCAGAACATGCGAGAAGATGATCACTTGGGAATTGAATGTGCAGCTCGGGTAAGCAGACGGTAGTTTTTCTTCGCTTGGCGTAAGAATAACAACGTCTGCGAGCAGGCTACATTCTCCCCTACTTGCTTTGGGTTCAGCAATCAATACCACATCAGATTATGTTTGGGATGAAACCATTTCTTGCTTACATTAAGGGGTGGAAGGAACTCCTTTCTCCTGCGCTTCCAGAACAGCGGTAGCAAATGTTGTACTCGATGCCAGCGATTCCTATAGGGTTGTTCGCTTCAACTTGATCAAGAGCTTCAGGAGCAAATACCCCACCGATCTGTCCGACCATAAAGTAATTTGGAATAAGTGGGAACGGGTCGTTAGAATCTGAACTCACATAAGTGATGGGCCGTGAGTTTACCAGTCCCTTAGCTCCACACATTGCGGTCTGAAGTTCTTCATCCGTCACATCTGCATCTCCTAGGACAATCTTTATTGTCTTCTTGGCGCTCTTTATCATTCATAGGCGTACCGGGCGGGAGGACGGGGAGGAGAGCGGTAGCCCCCCCCCCCCTCCAAGTTTTTTGGGCAGTCGGGCAATATTCGATTAACAGTCGGGCAATTTTGGTTTGTTATTAAAATAAATGGGACAAATTCTGTCAATTTTGTCGAAAATTTAGTGAATTTTGTGGACAATGTAGTGTTTTTTGGGAAATTTGTGTGATGTTATGAATAATTTTGG